ATACTAAGATGTTCTCTCCTGTGGCCAAACTGAATTCTGTTCGTGTGATAATCTCTCTTTCAGCTAATCTAAACTGGCCACTTCATCAACTTAATGTTAAAAATGCTTTTCTGCATAGTGACTTTACTAAGACAGTCTATATAACTCAACCACCTGGGTTTGAGTATAAGGGGGAGTGTGTGTGTCATCTTAAGAAGTCTATCTATGGCCTCATAAACAGTTTCCTCGTGCATAAGTTTAGTAAAGCAGTGGTAGCTCATGGTATGACCAGAAGCCAGGCTGACCACTCTCTTTTTTAAGAAAACGAAACGTGGTATTGTGATTCTTGTGGTGCATGTAGATGATATTGTTGTCACTGGCAGTGACAAAGATGGGATACAAGTTCTAATCCATCACTTGCGCTCTAGCTTCCTTACTAAGGATTTGGGCAAACTTCGGTATTTTCTAGGAATTGAGGTGGCTCGGTCAAAGCAAGGCATTAGTCTTTCTCCGCAGAAGTATACTCTTGATCTCTTAAAGGATACTGGATATCTTGGTTCAAAACCTGTAGCTACACCCATGGAGACTAATGTAAAACTTAAGGTGGATGACGGTGACCCACTCGATGATCCAGAGATGTATCAGAGACTTGTAGGTAAACTTATTTACCTCACAATCACTCGTCCAGACATCTCCTATGCAGTTGAGCCAGTTCATGACCAATCCTCGGGTACCTCACATGGAGGCAGTTGTACGCATTTTGAAGTATCTCAAGGGTGCTCCAGGACGTGGTTTGCTTTATCGATCTTCTGGACATCTTCGGATTGTGAGGGATACACATACGCAAATTGGCCGGTTCTCCTCCTGATCGACTGTCCACCACGGGTTACTGCACTTTCATAGGAGGAAATCTAGTACCTTGGAAGAGTAAGAAATAGTCAATTGTGGCTCATTCCAGTGTTGAAGCAGAGTATCGTGCCATGGCACATACTGGCTGTGAACTTACTTGGTTGAAAACTCTTCTACAGGAACTTGGGATTTTAGTCCGGTACCCAATTCCTCTCCACTGTGACAATCGGGAAGCTATTCATATTGCTATCAATCCAGTCTCCCATGAAAGGACTAAACACATTAAAGTAGATTGCCATTTCTTTCTATCTAAAGTTGACTCGAATAAGATTGTTACACCTTTTGTTCCTTCTGGTAGACAACTGGCAGACATCTTCACTAAGGTGCTTCCCAAGAACTCTATTGATTCCACATGTAGCAAGCTGGGAGATATTGACATTTATTCTCCAGCTTGCGGGGGAGTGTTGTACAGTATTGTATGAGTTGTAACGTTGTACAGTATTGTATGAGTTGTCACACCTGTACAGTTAGTATTGTATAAGTTGTCACCTACCCCTCATTACCATAGAGAGAATACCATGTATAGGGTTTACTTGTTCTCCACTCACCTATTCCCGTAACTTCTCCTATATAAACACCATTGTATTCATTTTTGTTAAAGGCTCAAGACGCACAAAAGCGCAAATGCCTCTTGGAGCCTGACGCGCAAGGCGAGGCGTGCTCCCAACTGAAGTAAGGCGCATGTTGAAAAAAAACAAAACAAAACCCACCCAATAAAGAATTAAAGATGCAATAGTATATATAAAGATGCAATAATGTTTGGATGCTGCATTAATTGATAGAAAATTTGAGTTCATCTTGCAAAATCACATGGATGTGTACCTTAAGTCAAATCAAATCTAATTTTCATTAAGCACGAATAAAACATTTTTGCAAGCTGCAAACACCATGTTTGGATGCATTAAATAGAAATTATGAATTTATCTTGCAAAAACCACAAGGATCAAGGATGTGCTATATTTTCAAATCAAGTCAATCTAATTTTCTATAAGCACCATGATTGATTCTATTTTTCAAATCATTTTTGGGTAAGTGATTGATTGATTAGGTATATCTCTATTATCTGTTTTAATGAGTAAACAAAATCAATCAAATGCATCACCAAACACATGCAAGGCAGTAAGGCACTAATCTATAGAAACAACAACTAAGCCACAAAAACCCTAAAAAAAAACAGAGGAACAACATCATCTAGATTCTAGACAAGCATAAAAATAAATAAAAAAATCTGCCAAAAGCAAAAGGAAAGAACTCAAAGAACTGAAAGAAGAGAGAGCCAAGAGAAGAGAAGGAAAAAAAAAAATCTGACATTCTGACGAGAGAAGAGAAGAGAGAAGAAGAAGAGAGAAGGAGGAGAGAAGAAGAGAGTAAAAAAAAAAATCTGACAAGAGATTCGGAGAGAAGAGAAGAAGGAGAGAGCTGAGAGAAAAAGAAGAAAAGAGAAAAAAAAAAAAAAAAATCTGACATTCTGACGAGAGAAGAAGGAGAGAGAAGGAGGAGAGAAGAAGAAGAGAAGAAGAAAAGAAGAGAGTAAAAAACAAAAAAATCTGACAAGAGATTCGGAGAGAAGAGAAGAAGAAGAAGAAGAAGAAGAAGAAGAAGAGAGAAGGAGAGAAGAAGAAGAGGAGAGAAGAACGAGAAAGAGAGAAGGAGAACTTACCGGCAGATCCGAGAGCTTCGCAGATATTGCCTTTGCTGCCGGCAGATCTGTCTCTTCTTTCCACTTTTGCTTTTGGTTTTCTTTTTATTTTTTTGTTTTGTAACTTGTAAGATTTGTAATAAATAAATAAAAAGTAATAAACAAATAAAAAGTAATAATAAACAATTAATAAACAAATAATAAACAATACAAAACCAAAAAAATAACAGAACAATTAAAAAAATTCCCTTTTTCAGGTGGGCGCGCCTTTTGAGCGCTTGTCGCCTTGCGCCTGTTATACAAAGGCGGCCGCCTTATTCAACCTCAGCGCCTTAAGCCATTGGAGGCGACATGGTGGCGCCTGGAGGCGCCTTGCGCCGCCGGCGCCTTTAACAACTATGATTGTATTATTGTATTACTCACTCAATAATAGATACGTTTTCATATATTCTCTTTCTCTCTCTCTCTTTCAACAACTATTCACGGTTTGTTTGCCCGATTTAACTAAAATCCATCAGAATTTATTGATATAATCAGATAGGGAACAGCCCCCATGAAGAGAAACAATTGATTTTGTTTATTAAAACTGTAATGATTAAAACCAGCAATTACTATGCAGGAGCAATAAGGAGAAAGCAAGCTCCTAGCAGTTCCATGCTTCTAGAATTTAGACAAATATATTAGCAGTTTTAAATATTAGAAATGTTTTATATATCAGCCATAATGTGTGTGGTTGTGGATTTAGTTAACCACAGTTCTTGAATATAATATGTTGAGCCATTCTAAGAGTACCGAATCTTTTGTTTTCTGGAATTTCCAGAAGTCACTTTCTTTTCCCTTTTTTACAAGTAAAATATCATTAAAATGCATTCAAAAGGAGAGCACATCCCAAAACAACTGCACAAGGACCAACAAGGCCAATTATACTTACTCCCAAACCATCCACAAGATCCACAAATTCTCCCACAAATTTACAATTCAACACGAGCCCAAAATAATAAAGTATAGAGAATTTGAGCAGCCAAATAAGAACCTCTGCTCCAACAAAGGATCATCGGTTTGGTTCCCGCCATAGGCGAAGGGGCGCCACCCTCCAAACATCTTGGGCCTGACCACTATACAACCTCGCCAAGCCTCAAGCATGCTCTTCGTATTCAGCATGACCCAAGGAATACCAAATAGTGCAAAAATCATGACCCAGCTATCCCTAGCCACTGGTCAATGCAAAAGAAGATGATTTACCGACTCCTCTTCAGGCTCTTCCCTTTGGCACATACAGAATCAATTGACGATAATTTAACGCCTTCTCATCAGATTATCAATCATCAAAATCCTCCCCAACACCATCATCCATCCAAAAAACAGCCACCATAAGAGGGGTTTTGGTGCGCCATACTACCTTCCAAAGAAAAGAGATCAAAACCTCCGATAAAAGGAACACACCTCAAATCTTCAATGACTGGAAACCACCCAACACCACTCATCATGCCCTGCCCCACCCACACTCTGGCTATATGGCAATGCCAAAAACTCATCAATATCCCCCAACTCCCAATCGTGAAATGCCTCCCAAACCGCACATCCCAAGTCAACCTCCTACTATAAACTTGATAATAGTCGGCAAATAACCCGTTTGGCAAGAGGAAAACGTAAAAGGAGATTAAAGATATAACAGAAAAGGTACTTATCAAAAAAAAAAAAAAAAAAAAGATATAACAGAAAAGGCTGGATGGAGATATTTTCTTCCGTCTAAAGGGAAATGGAAGTGGAAAGAATGTAATCCCTCTCAACCCACCAAATCATTCCACCCATAACTGGAAGGTAGCAAATATCAAGGGAGGCTCACTTCAAAATGTTTGGCTTTCAAAGACTCCCTAGTTATAAATGTAAGGTACAATGATGGGATGAACCTGTTTTCTCTCTCCTTCCTTCCCTCCTTTGTGACCAACAATGGAGCATGAGACCTCTTTTCTTTCTTTCATTTTTTTTTTTTTTTTTTTGATAAGTACAATTTCAAAAGCCGCTCAAAATAGCACACAGGTGGCACAACTACGCAAAAAAAAACTATATCCTCACACTATTCATTCATTCATGCTCAACAAAACAGGTGGATGAAAAGACCATGGAGGCAAAATCAACATCCTTTTCTCCCTTTACCTTCTCCCAACAGTCAAAATGGCATTATGAGAACTTTCTTGAACGAATTCATCTGAGCCAATTCTCCTATGAGCTCCACATATTATCAGAAGATGTTTTTCGTCCAATTACATTTTCAAGTTCTTAAGATTTACAGGAAAACAATATAGTTTCTTTTCCTGAGTGGGATTTAAATTACCCATGAAACAAGTCATGCAAAATGCGTATTCAGCTATGTTATTCCTCAGCCTTGGACACATATATTTCATTTGTAAAATGCAATACTAACGAACATCAAAATACTAAGAAAAAGGACAAATAACAGTATATAATATACCTGAAACACCAACCGAATACCATCCCGAGTATCAACTGCGACAGGCATACAAGAATAGAAGTACCCACTATCAATAATCCTATGCACGTCTTCTTGAACCTCTCGAACTGTGAGAGCAGAGTTCGGCCGGCACGCTTTCAGTGAGGCAACAGCCTCATTCTCAAGGTCCTTCCTCTCCAGCTCTTCCCCATCCTTGTTCCTCACCAAGACCTCGCTGATCAAGACCCTCTCTTCATCGTGCCGATTCACTGAGTGCCCACCCTTCGACTGAGTCATCGCGCCCTCCAATGCGCCCTGAGTCGACTCATCGAACCGAGTCAAGGCCAATGACGCCGTGCACAAGAGCGACGAATTAGCGTGAAACGGGTAGATTCTCTTGCGAGTACGAAATGATTTGACGAAATGGTTGATTGAGTCTTTGGTTTTGGCGAGAGTCGAAGTTAGGATTTGAGGATGAAATTGGAGAGTAGAGAAGAGAGGAATAGAGTGGTGGTGGCGATGGTGGTGGTGGAGAAGTGGGAAGAGAGGAACTTTGAGAGAGGAGGAAATGAAGCGAACGCCTTCGTTTTCCGGCATTATTTGACCGGAGATGAGTCTGCAATTGCTTAATCCTGTTCTTCTCTATTAATGTTGTCGGCTAACAGTAGTGAGCGAATCTTTGTGTCTCGGCAAGCTTGCTTCTCTTGTAGGCTTTGCGTGATAATTGAAAAACCCTAGTTTGTTTTTCCAGAGGGTTTAGAGGGGGAATAGAAAAGGTGGCCTTTACCCCCAAAAAAAAAAAAATTTAATAAAATGGTATATTACACTTACGCCAGTAGATAGGATAAATTACATAAAGCTCCCCACAGTTTTGAAATATTTCACTTGTCTCTCATCTAGTTAACACCTTTGTAATAAATTGACCCCTTCTATCGATCTACTCCACCCTTAAAATATTTGTGAAGACACTTTTGCCCCTTTAAACTTGTGTAAAAAGAAATTTGTATCCAAAACTTAGGGGTGTTAATTGGGTGGGCGAATTATGGGTTGATCATGAATGGGCGAGTCAATCCATTTATGATGAGTGATAGAAGGGTTGGATGTTAAATGGGCTAGTTAACACACACCCAAACCAATTACCCAAATATTTTTAGATACAAATTGTCAAATTCTTTAATTGTTAAATACCAAAAAAAATTATAAAAAATTATTTTTACATTAAATTAATTAATTTTTTGGTCTCACTGGTTACATTTTTTTTCCTTTAAATTTTTTATTATTTTTATTTTTGAAAAAAAAAATTACTATACAACTTACTTTGAGAATTATCACAGCCCAGAAAAAGAAAGAGATAGAGAGAAAATGGAGGAGAGAGAATAGGAGAGAGAATAAAGGGAAAAGAGATAGAATAAAATATATATATATATAAAATAAAATAAAAAAAAAACAATGAGAGAGAAACAGGGAGGAGAGATAGAAAAACAATGATGGAGTGAGGAAAACAATGATAGAGAGAGATAGAAATATAAAATATTATTATTAATAATTTTTTTTTTTTATGACAAAAAAATGAGAGAAAATATAGGAAAAAAAAAAAAGAGAGAGAGATTTTGTTTGAGCAGATTATGATGAGTACCCACTCTTAATCCACCCTTGACCCTTGAATTGAACGAGTACTAACTTTTTACCCATTATTCACCAATCACTTAAATTTGAGTACCCAAATGATTTAATTTTAGAGGACGAGCTTGGGCAATTTAATGGGTTTGGGCTTAAATTGCCATCCCTACCAAAACTAAATATTTACGCATGAAGTTAAGGCCTTGCTTGGTTTGCAACTCTCAAAACTGTTTTCAAGAACAGTTTTTAAAGAACCAAAACAGAGTACAATTTTCAAAATTTTCAGTTTGAAAATCTGCGTGGTTGTGAAAACTACAAAAATAAATTTCAAAATACAAAAACTTATAAACCTTCTTGTGTTTACACCCTATGTTTCAGCCAATGACTAGTTGACACGTGGCAAGTTTTACATAAGACTTGCCATATATTAATTCTATTTACACCATAATTATCAGCCACTTTCCAGTGGAAGGATTGCCCTGGTCGATTTCCAATGGAAGGTACTACGATGTTCTAGTGGAAATCACTGTCTTCTAAAGGCTTTGGCTAAAAACCAATCCAAGGTAGACACGTGGCTTAATAAAAGGGAACTATTTGCACCATAATCATCGGTCACTTTCCATTGGAAAACTGTTATGGCCGATTCCATGGAAGGGTGATATGCAAACGTAGGTGCAATCATAAAGCAACACGTGGATTCATCTAAGAAAGCCATTTGGTGACGTGACCACCTTGGGACACGTGGCAGCCAAGGAAGCGAACGGTTACATGCAAGTGGAAAATCGTGGAACCCGTGACAACTAAGAAAGTGAGCGGTTACATGCAAGTGGAAAGTCATGGGATATGCTAACTACCATTACTAAATTCTATAAATAGGTCATGCTATTGTTACTTAGAAGGCCTATTCAAACACACAACACAAATTACAACAACATTTCAATACAATCTTTCTTTTCATTGCAATGCAATTTCAATATATTTAGTCTAAGTCCTGCACTTTACTTTATATAAGATTATTTTACATTCAAGTCAATTACTTTCATAAGTAGTTCAATCTTCCTTAGCCAAATAGCAGTCCTGAAATCCATTTTTAAAGGCAAAATGAACCCAGAGGTGTTCAGACATTTTCACAATCGCCTGGTCTTGCAATCTTCCATCTGGAATATTGTTTGGATCTCTCTTTGAAACTACAGTAGTTCTTGGCACGCCTATCCGGTTCCATCAGAACCGACCATTTTTATTGGCCAAACAACTTGGTTGTATATACTGAAAATTGTTTCCTGAAAATGTATTGCATATCACTCTTTTATTTATTTTTAACATTTATTATAAGTATTAGATGTGTATTACACTTAAATATTCTTAAAAATAACAACAACAAAAAATGCACAAAAACAATATTGATTTTTTTTTTTTTTTTTTAAAGGGAGGAGAAGAATTTTATTGAAGTTCTTATAAACTTGAAGTGTATTCTTAACTGGTGAAATGTAAAATGTATGGGACTTGAAAAAATTAACATAACATCTCACAATTTAGATGTATTCAATGTATTGCCAAATAAAGATAAATAAAAACTTTACAAAAAATTATTGAGGATTGCACTAGAAAAACAATTTAGTGAGGATTGCACTAGAAAAAATATTGAGCATATTAACTAGGAAAAAAAACACATAATATTGAGCATATTGACATTCTTACAAATTTAAATTGTACACAACATTCTTTTTACAACATTTTTTTCATTATTTCAGTTGCCAAATTAATTACTTACCAAAAATAATAAATATTGCACAACTTCCAATAGACCATTATTAGCAAGAAGATTGCATATTTTCCTAAATATGATATTTTTTTTACCCTTTTAAAAAAAAACCTCAATTCTTTTTTGTGACTAACTGTGGATTTTTATTGTAATTTTTTTAACCTTTTTTTTTTTTTTTTTAACCCAAAGGAAAACATTTTTGAGAAACACTAAGAACACCTTTTAGTAGTTCTCTGAAAAAGACTAAGTAATTCATTTGCATATACATGTATATTTTGTTTTTGAAGTTGTCATAAATTTTATGTATAAACAAACTTTGTTGACTACCAATATGAGTTGTAACAAGGTCAAACCTATTTGATGACATAGATCATAGCATCTAATCCTTGTTTATGTTCTCTTTATATAAGGAATTCATTGGTATACATTTATGTGTGTGTCTGTATACACTAGCATAATTCACGTGAGATGACGTGATTGAATAATCACCAAACAATGATTTTTAGTCATAAAAAAATATTAGGTATACTTCTCTAGTTGTATCTCAAACTCGAAAATGGATCATAAACCTGCATAAATGAGCATGCATTTTATTAATTTATAATTCTAAATAATATGTATTTAATAAGAAAAAAAAAAAAAAAAAAAACTTAATTTTGATTCTAAATAGTAATTAATATAAATATAAAGTAATACATTTGGAACTATTTTGCGTTTTTCATGTTTTCAATTATCTAAAGAGGTAAAGTTTAAGCATATACACTTACCTTAATAGGACTTACATGACTCCTCATATACTTTTCCTCTTTCAGTACCCAAAATAGAGCCCCTCAAAGGCTTGTAACATAAATTAGATTATTTAATAGTGGCAAAATAGAGAAGTCATAGCGATGTTTTCGATCACTCAGTCGCCATTCGAACACTATATGAGCAGTTTTGGGGTAATCAAGACATGAATTTGATGTATATCATTAGAAAATAAGTAAAAAAAAAAAAAAAAACACATAAACATCCCAATTGAAGTCTCACCTCTTAGGTAAGTACGATGATAGACCTCAATGAATTCCCATGAGCAATCATCACATTTTAAGACATCTTGATGATTGCACAAATTACCTTTCTACGACGGTGATGCATCATAGTAAGCACAACAGTCATCCTTGTATAACTATTCACCAAGGTGAATTAGGATTAAAGTTATTTTACTTGGGAAAAAATTCCAAAAAAAAAAAATCAAAATAATTCACAAAAAAAAAAAAAAAAAAAAAAAAAAAAAAAAAAAAATTCACTCTACAAATTACAAATAAATATTCACTTCACAAAAATGTGCAACTCAACGTAAGGATTACCACATTTGAGAAGTTGATATTATAGTTATTCTAAACTTCCTGAGTATAGTTTTGTTTTCTCAACAATCTAACACTGGCCTTATACCCTTTGAGACCAATTAATAAAATTTTTATTGATAAATCTTGATTAGAAGAAGTAAAAATTTTAAATTTACAGAATTTAGTTTATAAATCAAAATTGGTGATTGAAATTTTAAGAGCACGTATAAATTGAAAAGATTTCTCTTAAACGTATTAATATATATGATGCAAAATAAATTCCTAACAAACTTAATTTATAATTCGTAGTTCCTATTTTATTGGAGCAATATTCCAAACAGTACTTCCTTTCTAAGAAACACTCACCGTGTGTTTAAAAATTAAAGAAGAAAAAGAGAAAAGAAATGACCACGACCATATCCTCCTCAACAAGCAAAAGAAGATTGTAGATAGATAGGCAACATGAGAATGCGTTACCTTGCTGTACGAGTGGGTGCGTGTGTGCATGAGTTTCCATATTAAACTTTATTGTAATACACACACACACACACCATATCAAACTTATTATTATTTTTTGCTTTAATTTACATTATACCACTAAATTATTCTCTATATGACATTTGACTGATAACTTGATATAGAGAAAATAACATTTTCTATGAAAACTACTTTAAAGTTGGCTTTCCTAATCATTCTTAGTTTGAAATTTCCCTTTATGAAGATATTAAAAAGAAATATGAATCAGAATCAGCTATTACAATACAAATTCTTACAACTCAAGTATAAGATTGAAAAAAAGGAAAACTATTAGATTGTACTTGCAATTACTTTTATTAAATCAAACTTCTATATAATACCTAGGTAAACGAGAAATATTATGCATGCATTGTCATTATATATCATTACATCTCAAAATCTATAAATAACATGCACAAAATTTCACTTATATTGCATAAACTTTAAAAGAACTTCGAAAAATGAAATGGTGAACGCAAATAATTTGGTAATTCGATTTTAAAAAATCCAATCAAAATTTTAAAAATTCAATAAAAATTTTAAAAATTCTACATATTAATG